AATAGAGTGAAGCTTATTACATCTATTATTCTAACAAGTGTTAGAGATAATATTTCAAAAAGAAAATCTTCTGAGTATTCAAAACCTTAGTGAAATGAGAATATCTCATCTAAAAGAAAAGAATTAGCTACTACTAGAAGAGATTGAAAGAATGATGTAATATCTGATGAAGAGTTCAAAGCTATCAGAAATGAATATTTTTCAGATATTAAAAGAGCTAAAACAGACTGCTGGAATAAATTTCTTGAAGAAGCATAAGAAAAGAAAGTTTTTAAAGCTTTTAACTATACTAAAACAAGAAGTGTAGCAAAACTTCCAGCTCTAGAATATGAGTTTCAGAATGAATCATATACAGCAAACTCTTTTGAGAAAAAATGTCAAGTGTTCATGAGAATTCTCTTTCAGAACTCATCAGATTCAGATTCAGATTCAGAGGAAGAGAATATATCACTTCTCAACTACATTGATGAAAATGACTGGGAATGGTCTAATCTTACACAAGATGAATTAGAGTCAGCTATCTTCTCAAGTTCTGTTAAAACTGCTGCAGATCCTGATTCAATTAATCACTTGATTATTCAAAATACATATTTCTACTTAAAGAATGAGTATTTTGAGCTCTTTTTCAATCTCTTGAAAAATGAATATTATCCTGAATGCTGGAGAGAAGCCACTGAAGTGATTCTTGCAAAACCTAATAGAAAAACTTCAATTTCTAAGTCATATAGAGTAATATCTCTATTGAACTGCCTAGGAAAGGTTTTAGAAAAGATAATAGCTACTCAACTATCTTTTATAAGCTCTATAGATGATTCTCTTTTATTCAGTGAATAAATGAGAGATAGAAAACAGTGTTCTGCAATTGACACTGTTCTCTCAGTTGTTCATGATATTCAAATAACAAAGCATGAGAGTCTGGTCTCAACTGCAGTTTTTATTGATATAAAAGAAGCATTTGATCATGTTTCAAAGTCAAAGTTAATTCAGACATTGAAGATATTAAAACTGCCACTTTCTCTAATAAAATGAGTTAACTGTTTTATGTCTAAAAGAATTATACAACTCTTCTTTGATGGAATGAAACAAGACAAGACTGAGATAAAAATAGAAGTATCACAGAGGTCTTCAATCTCACTCATTTTATTTGCAATATACACTGCATATCTATTCAAAAATAGAAATATGAGAATAGTGTGATCTCCAAGTTATGTGGATGATATTGGTCTAGTCTACAGCTCAAAAACTATCAAAGAGAATTTGAAAGTAATTGAAGAAGCTGCAAAGGAAATCTTTGTTAGAGCAGATATCAATCAAATTCAATTTGATATGAATAAAACTGAGTTAATTCATTTCTTTTCTAGATTCAATGAGAAAGAACTATCTCTAACTCTTTTAAATAGAGAGATTAAACTCAGTGTAAATGTCAAATGATTAGAAGTATAGTTAAACTCCAAGTTGAATTTTAAATATCACATTCAACAGAGAACTGTCAAGACAGAAAGACTATTGAACAACATAATCAGACTATCAAATACAGAGAGAGGTCTATCCTTCCAGGCTATGAGACAGTTATATATAGCCTGTATGACATCAGTAGCTGATTATGAAGTTCAAGTTTGATGAAATAATCAAGGGAATTTCACTGAACTCTTTCAAAGTCTGCAAAACAGAGCCTTGAGAAGAATTCTGAGAGCATTCAAATCATCTTCTATTAAAGCAATGAAAATTGAAGCTTCAATTCCTTCTCCTGCTATTAGATTTGAAAAGGCCTGTATGAACTATGCTCTGAGAGTTGTAAAGATGAGCTTAAATCATATAATCAGAGAAAGAGTCTCTTCTTCATTTTCATCAATTAACTCTGGAAATGAACTGGATTGGAATAGATTTCTTGATTGAAATGAAAATAATTCTTCAAAGAAAATGTCTTCTCAACTGTACAGACTATGCTCTCTGATTAAAAATCAATTTTCTTCTTTAAATGTTGAAAAAGTTGATCATGAGAAGTTATCTCTCTGAAGAAAAAAGCTTGAATCTCTTATAGACTTACAAATAAGTGAACTATTAAAAGAGAAAGAATATGAACAGCATTTGAAGAGAACTTCTACAATCAATATAAAAGACTCTATTCTGATTTATTCAGATGACTCAAAAAATGAGAACTTGAATAGATTAGACACAGGCATTGCTTATACTGAAGATAATATTAATTTTATCTCAGATTTCTGAAATCTAGGCTCTGAATGTGAAGTCTTTGATGCTGAACTATTTGCAATAGTGAAAGCTTTCAAACTCATTGAAATAAAATCTTATAAAAGAGGAAATTGTTTGAAAGAGACATGGATATTCTCTGATAGTCAAGCTGCTTTAAAAAGACTTAGAAATAGTCAGATTCATAATGATCAAATGAATCTTGAACTGATCTTAAACTCTGTTTTAAAAATTCAAAAGAGAAGAACATCAAAGCTGAGAATTCATCTACACTGAGTTTCTGCTCATATGAATATTCATGGCAATGAATTGGCTGATTCAGCTGTAAAAAAGGGTGCAGAATTAAGCAGATCTATTCAAAAAATTATGTCCTGGTCTTTTATAAAGAGAAAAATAAAAGAATCTTGTTTAGACAAGTGAAATGAAAGCTGGCAGAAACAAAAGAAGAGTATACATTATTCAAGATTTGAAACAAAACCCAAGTGGAAATCTTGTTCAATTAAATGTAAAAAGAAAATATTCTCATCTATAATACAGCTGAAACTAGGACATGGCTATTTCAAATCTTATATACAAAGATTTGATGATAGATTTGACTCAATAGAATGCTCATTCTGCAATACAAATGAGAACTCTGAGCATATTATAATACACTGTGCATTATACAATAGTCTCAGAGCCAGATTGAAAGAGAAGTATGATCTAAATCAATTAAATATGAGATTCTTATTCTCAACTGAGACAGGAATTAAATACTTAATAGACTTTCTATCAGAAACTCAAGCAGCTACAAGAAAATGGCTAAATTCAGAATTATCTGAATATGAAGAGGAGGAAATCAATCAGATATAGTCTGTTAAAACAGCTATACACTCTCTTTTAATAATTTGTTTTGTTATAGTCTCTCTTTACTTTATCTTTTTCTGTATCTTTTCCTTTCAATTTCTTTCTATCTATCTATTTAATGTGTCTATCTTTGAGACTGTGTTCTTTCTCTCTTTTCTTTTGTCATGATAGTGTCAAATGGTTTCAAAGTATTAAAAGATGTTAAAACACTGCAATTTGTAAACAGTTTTTGTATTCTGAGCTGGAATTTTCTGATTTTGCATATCTGAAATTGATGAATGTACAATAGTTAACTTTACAGACATAGAAAAAACCCTGAGAACTAAAGTTCTCAGGTAGATGTCATAGTCTCTGACTGCATACATCTATAATTGAAGAATAATAATAATAATAATAATGATCAAATGCATCTTGTATATTAATAAAAACTTCTGATGAGATCAGATCTTCATACTTTGCTATTTGAATGTTATAAATAATGAAAAGAACAGTGTTAATTATAGAACATTGTTTTCTATCTCTTATCTATTCATTAAATAGAGGAGAATTACTAATAGAGCTTATAAAAATAGTCTAGTAGCTATTATCTTTTCTAAAATCTTTCACAGACAGTTCAATAGAGATATTACTCTATATAACTTAGAAATTGAAGCTTTTCTATTAGATTTTGTAAGAATTACTTCAGTGACTTCTCTTCAGCATTCAGAATAATATTTATTTCTCAAGAGATTGAAAAAGAGCTTAAAATATTAATTCTTTAAGTAGAAATATGAATTTTGAATAATTAAGTGATTAATTGAATCAGGACCTGCAACAGTTTTAATTGAACTTGAAAAAATGACTGACTCTATTTCATCTTATATAAGCTCAGATTATTGGCAGTCACTTTCATTAATATATTTATAAAATAATATATTCTCTTCTTCTGAATCTGATGAGTTTTGAATGAGAATTCTCATAAAAGTGTGATATTTTTTTTCAAAGAAATTTGCTGTATATAATTCATTCTGAAACTCATATTCTAAAGTTGAAAGTTTTAGTACAGTTCTTGTTTTTATATAGTTGATGTGGCGGGCTGCGCCCGATCAACTATATAGACTATTCCATTACACTTCATAGATTCCGCCGCTCCGATTCTCCATGATTCTCGATCGCCGATCCTCGGCCGAAAAACCCATGGAATTCCTATTCTTCCACCCCGAAGCTCCACCGCGTACACCATCACAAAGATGTATAAATATTCACTTCAATCACTGATTCTTGCACTTTCTCTTTCCTTTCCTTCTTTAACATTTTTCACTTTGTTATATAAGACCTATATATATTATACTGATCTATTCAATGTAGGCCTCTTACACTTGAAAAACATTCATCATCTTCTTATTAGAAATGATTACTCATTGAGAAGATACCTGAATGTGTAATGACGTGTAAGAAATAGAAAAAATGATCAAACAGTTAAGTGAACATTAGACTGACCGTGTGACCGTGTCTGAGACCAGGACCAGATTTTTTGATAGTTTCATTACCAATTCGACTGATCTCATTACACAGTTTTAACATTAGATAGTAGTTCTATACTGTCTCAGTGAGACTTACTGTCTACTCTTGTCACATTTTCCAAATGAGATCATGATTTTCACTTCTCAATTTAAATTATTTTTATTGCTTTAAATGACTTTAAATCTCATTTGAGTGTTATCAAAAAGTGTTACTTTTTAAAAAATTAAAAATAGTCTAAAGAAAACCTTAAAATGTCTAAAAATAGTAACTTTATGCCAAGAATGAGACTAAATGAGACCAAATGGAATCACTTTCTCATTTTTTTCAAGTCATGGTTTCATTTTAAGATCTGATATATAGTCACTTTACATGTTATTTTGATAGCTAGTCCCAGCGGGATTCACGCCAAGAAATGTATGGGATCAGACCAAATGAGACCAAACATGAAATTCATGGTCCCGGCGGCCAGTCTAGTGAACATCAAGTTCTCAGATAGAAGCTTGCTCATCAGTCACTCTGGCCCCGCAACAAGATCTTACAAAGAGAACATCAGCAAAAGACCTGAGAGTTCTGACACTCTAGATGTATGAGATATTCATACAATTACACTTCTTCAGATTTCACAGATACTACACATCTGACAAACAATATAATTATATCTAATGATAATATGAAAGAACTCTCAAACATGAGCATAGATACAATATCACAGTGACTCTGAGCAATGTTGAAATTATAATAATAATAAATAGCTGACATGCATGCAACTCAATAATGCCAGTATGAAGAGATTCAATGATTATCTTAACAAGAAACTCCTGCACAGACAATCTCAACACTGACAGAATCAAATACAATGCGAGTGCTGAAAGAACACTTAGATGCTTCTACATATTTTAATACTTCTGATCTCACTCTCTACTCATCATGAAGGTTGGAAATGCTCATGAAACTAAGTATAGATAAAGATGCCATCAGTTCACTAATCAATCAAGATTGATATATCAATGAATGATTGAAGAATCATGTGAAACAGAAGTTTCATTCATAAATGAAAGCATGTGAACCAGTGTTGCAAACATCTGATAATATCATCAAATATCTTGATGTTCTGTTTCAAGACACTGCTAGGCAACAGAAAGTATTAGATTGATTACAGAGTGCCTGACAGAGAAACACTTCTCTCACAACATTCATCCCTGACTTTGACACTAAGATTCTAGAAGCAGGTGATCAATCTTGAGAGGATCAAATGAAGATTAGCATGCTCAAGAAGACATTAACTTTTGAACTCTTACAGGCCCTTATAAGTATAAATGAAGACCTGACTTATAAAGGCTTCTGCACACAACTCTGGACATTGAATGACTGTCTTACCAAGCTCAAGAGTATACAGAACAGTGACAGAAGATATTACATCTCAGTCACTCATACATCTGCACTGAAGAATAACAACAATGATGCAGATGTCATGAACTGAGTAGACTTGAATGTCTACACATAAGTAAGAGTCTTCACTGTTTGAACAGGCTTTCAAGTCCCTGAGATCACTTTCAAAGAAGTCACTGACTGACATCAATGTGAGATGTGCATCAACTGTAACTGATCAGAACACATTACTTTCAACTACTGATTGACCTATGTGTCTCCTTACTTGAGAGAAAGATCAGTGTCTTCTCACTTAAAGAATGAATCAGTGTCTGTCCACATCAATCACATTGCATTGAAGAAAGATTCAGAAGATAACTATGAGAACACTTCAATGAAACAGGGAAAAGATTAGCTTCTGTTCAAATTCACAAACAGAAGCTTGAAGAGGTCAGATGACAACAATTTGAAGAAAAGATGACAATGAATGCAATTCTTGTATCTACTGTGATGAATAACATGTATAATATGAAGATCATAATAGATAGCAGTCTATGTCACTATGCAATGATTAAATCTTCAGTTGTAAGACATTATAATCTTCAGCATATTCTCTTATCAAAACTCTGACTTCTCACAGAATTTGATGATTCAAAAGATGTTTACACTCATTACATGGTGAAACTAAACATAGATATCAGAGAACATTAACATGAAGATATCTATACATATGAAGTTGATAATCTTGATTATAATCTTATGTTAGAACTTGCCTGACTATCTGAACAAGACATCTTATTGAATGCTCAAAACAGAAGCTTAATATTCCCTAACAATGATAGAGTTCACAAAGATAATATTCACAAGACTATGAATCTGATACAGATCTCTGTCAATGCCTACAAACTGCTCTGAAAAAGAAGTCACTGAAAAGATTGTCAATAGCAGAATTATGTGACAATCTATTTCATCAGTCTAGCTGATATCAAGAAAGCCCTAGAAAAGTTATCTCATACTATAATAACAGATTCTTATATCAAACTCTCTCAACAATATCATGAATATCTAGATGTCTTCTGACAAGACAACATTATGAATATACCTCTCTTACAAGGCTCAGGAGTGAATCACAGTATTAAGTTAGAGAAGAAGAATGATAAAGACTCTGAATCATCATAAGGCTCTCTTTAGAACATGTTCTGAGATGAACTTCTTCTTCTTTGAAAGACACTCAATGATCTGTTGAATAAGAGATTCATATGTATTAGTAACTCTTTCATTGCAGCTCCTATTCTCTTTGCAAAGAATTCAGATGAAGAACTCTGATTCTGTGTGAACTATCAAGATTTGAACAGATTAATCAAGAAGAACTAATATTCTTTATCTCTGATCAATGAAATTCTAGCTCAGATCAGACAAGCTCAATAGTTTATGAAACTAGATGTCATCACTGTGTTTCATAAGATTCATATCACTGAAGAAGATGAATGACTTACAGTATTTCAGAAATGTTATGATCTCTTTGAATGAGTAGTCACACTCTTCAGACTGACTAACATTCTCAGTATATTTCAGAAGTATATCAACTGAGCACTCTGAGATTTCCTTGATGAATTCACATCTGCATATCTCAATGACATTCTCATCTTCACTGATGAGTTCAGAAAAGAACATCAAGAACATGTACAAAAGATATTACAATAACTATGAGAAGCAGAACTATCAATAGACATAGATAAGTGTGATTTTGAGATTAAAAGTACAAAATATCTAGGCTTTATCATAGAAGCTGGTAAGAGAATCTGAATGAATTCTGAGAAGGTCTTCACTATTCTTGAATGAAATATCTCACACACTGTGAAGAGTGTACAAAGTTTCATCAGATTCACTAACTTCTATCAGTGATTTATATGAAACTTCTCAGATATTATAAGATTACTTACAGAACTCACTAAGAAGAACTCAGTATTTCAATGATAAGTAGACACTAAAGCTGCATTTATATAAATGAAGAAGATATTCATTAATATCTCTCTGCTGATAACATTTGATTCTGATTATGAGACAGTTGTTAAAGCTAATTTCTCTGACTATGTCACAGAAGAAGCTATATTGCAATATGATGATGAAGATGTCTTATAATCATACATCTTCATGTCTAAGAAACTGAGTCTCACTGAATGCAATTATGAGATCTATGACAAGAAACTTCTCACAATTATACACTGTTTAGAAGAATGAGACTCTGAACTTCAAAGTGTCTCTGAATTTGAGATAATCACAGATCATAAGAATCTCAAGTACTTCATAACTATCTGTAAACTCACTGAATAACAGATGCAATAATCTAAGTTCTTAAGCTGCTTTCATTTTACAATACATTATCATTCTGACAGTCAGAACTTGATGACAGATGCCCTCTCACAATGAGAGCAAGATATATCATTCAATGTAACAGATACTCACTGAATGAACTGAGAGCATCAGCTCTTGAATCTGAAGATATTAGTTGATCAAGATGAAACAACTCATGATACTATATGTGCTTCTCTGATTAGAACTGTCACTGATATCTCAACTTCTTCTGAACCTATAGTAGATAAACTATGACATACAGCAGCTCAAACTGATGAACTTCTTCAAACACTTACTGAAGCAGTATGTCAAGAAGCACTCTGATTTCCCTCAGAACTATGTATAAGAATCAATATCTTAGAATATTCAATTGATAATAATAATACTCTACAATTCTGTGAATGACACTGAGTCTCTCACTCTGAACCCTTACATACCTGGATAATGCAAGAGATGCATGATTTGTGTATAATCAGTTATTCAGGTCATGAATAACTATATTAAATAATCTCTCAAGAATTCTACTGATCTGAGATATCAAACAGCATCAGATGTTTTGTCTGAAACTGTAATTATTCTTCTTCTATCATCTTATGAAAGAACTGTAGAAAAGATCTGCTGAAACTACTTAATGTCTTTGATAGAATCTGGTAAGATGTAATAATTGACTTTACTGTTAATCTCTCTGAGAGCAAGAGTTATAGAAACATCCTGGTCATCATAAACTGATTAAGCAAAGATATAATATTGAAATCTTGTGATAAGATGAATATCAAACAAGTCACTGAAGCTTTTCTACAGAGTCTGTTCTATCAGATGCATGAATTACTGAGATCTATAGTATTGAATTAAGACTGTCAATTTGTGAGTACTCTCTGAACATGAATCTGTCAAGTTCTCAAGATTATATATTATTTGTTAACTGTCTATCATCTCAAGACTGATGATGCATCAGAACAAATAATTCAGACTGTAAAGAATTATCTTCATAAGTTCTGCAATCACTTATAAGATGATTGGTATGATCTTCTTCTACACACAGAGATCACTATTAACAGCTGAGATACTGTTTCAACAGATATAACTCTGTTCTTTCTTACACACAGATTTCACATGAAGATGTTGAATCTTCTAGAGATCACATATTTCACACTGAACTCTCACAGTCTAATTCAGATCACTGATAATATAGTAATAAAGCTCTGAGATGCCTGCAACTGAGCAGAGGCCTGTATGATAATTATGAAACAAGATTAAGAAGATCAAGTCAATATCTGATAAGATTCTGCAGAACAGTATAAGATAGAAGATCTTATATGATTGAATCTTAAAAATATACAGATTACATACTCATTCTGTACATTAAATTATTATTATGTGAAATACACAGTGACAGAAGTTCTAGACAGTTATAACTACTATCTTAATACTCTGTCAGAGATTTATGATGTATTTCATACAAGCTTACTTCATCACACTGTCACTGATCTATTCTCTTCTTGACTAACTTCTGACTGACAGCCGCCAGGGATCATAGAAGAAGATAATGAACTTAAGTGAGAGATTGAGAATATTCTCAATGAGAGATCTCATGACTGCAGTCAACAATATCTTATAAAATGAGTTGGCTATGATCACCTGACCTGAACTCTGAGTTCTGTGTTATCTGAGATCACAGCTCTTGACTGATGGGAGCTATACATGATCAGGGAAGAAGGGGGCTAATGTGGCGCGCTGCGCCCGATCAATCATATAGACTATTTCATTACACTCTATAGATTCCGCTTCTCTGATTCTCAATGATTCTCAATTGCTGATCCTCAGCTGAAAAACCCATGAAATTCCTATTCTTCCGCCCCGAAGCTCTACTGTGTACATCATCATGAATACATATAAATATCCACTTCAATTGCTGATTCTCACACTTTCTCTTTTCTTTTCTTCTTTAACATTTTTCACTTTGTTATATAAGACCTATATATATTATACTGATCTATTCGGCGTAGGCCTAGACTGACCGTGTGACCGTGTCTGGGACCAGGACCAGAATTTTTGATAGTTTCATTACCAATTCGACTGATCCCAATACACGGTTTTAACATTAGATAGTAGTTTCATACTGTTTCAGTGAGACTTACTGTCTACTAAACTGACCGTGTGACCGTGTCTGGAACCAGGACCAGATTTTTTGATAGTCTCATTATCAATTTGACTGATCTCATTACACAGTTTTAACATTAGATAGTAGTTTCATACTGTTTCAGTGAGACTTACTGTCTACTCTTGTCACATTTTTCAAATGAGATCATGATTTTCACTTCTCAATTTAAATTATTTTTATTGCTTTAAATGACTTTAAATCTCATTTGAGTGTTATCAAAAAGTGTTACTTTTTAAAAAATTAAAAATAGTCAAAAAAAAACCTTAAAATGTCTAAAAATAGTAACTTTATGCCAAGAATGAAACTAAATGAGATCAAATGAGATCACTTTCTCATTTTTTTCAAGTCATGGCTTCATTTTAAGATCTCATATATAGTCACTTTGCATGTTTTTTTAATGACTAGTCTCAGCAGGATTCATGCCAAGAAATGTATGAGACCAGACCAAATGAGATTAAATGTGAAATTCATGGTCTCAGCGGCCAGTCTACTGTCTACTCTTGTCACATTTTTCAAATGAGACCATGATTTCCACTTCTCAATTTAAATTATTTTTATTACTTTAAATCCCTTTAAATCTCATTTGAGTGTTATCAAAAAGTGTTACTTTTTAAAGAATTAAAAATAGTCTAAAGAAAACCTTAAAATGTCTAAAAATAGTAACTTTATGCCAAGAATGGGACTAAATGGAATCAAATGAAACCACTTTCTCATTTTTTTCAAGTCATGGTTTCATTTTGAGATTTGATATATAGTCACTTTGCATGTTTTTTTAATGACTAGTCCCAGTGAGATTCATGCCAAGAAATGTATGGGACCAGACCAAATGAGATCAAACATGAAATTCATGATCCCAGCGGCCAGTCTACGTAGGCCTCTTACAGTTGAAGATCTTAAAAACTTCTTTCTCTTATTCTTCTTCAAGAAATTTCTTTCAGCGGTCTGTTTTAGCTCTTTTAATATCTGAAAAATATTCATTTCTGATAGCTTTAAACTCTTTATTAGATATTAAGTTATTCTTTCAAGTGCTCTTAGCAGTGACTAATTATTTTCTTTTAGAAGTGATATTCTTATTTTATCAAGATTTGAAGTACTCAGAGAACTTTTTCTGTGAAATATTTTCTTTAATACTTGTTAAAAGAATAGATATACTCAGCTTCACTCTATTCTCAAGTATTTCATTTAAGATATCTTGACTCATATTTCAATAGAGTTCACTCTGTTTTTCAGATTTCAGCAGTTTTATACTTTCTTCAACTGCTTTTCAATCAGCTTTTTCAAAGTTATATTAATTGAAGAGAAGAGAGTTTTCACTTATTTATTTTTCACTCAGTTCAATATTAAATTGAATAATCTTATAATCTGATTCTGATGTCTCATTTGAATTAATAAATCAGTTTATAAGTCTTTTTTCAATTAGATTTTATAATATGAAAGTTAAATCTATAATAGATTTCTATTTCATGTCTTTTCTAAAGAATGTTTATTAATCAGACTTGTTAATTAAGTTTATTAAATGCTTAAAAGTTTATTTAATCAGTTTATCTGCTCTTACTACTCTTCTGTATTCTGAATTTCATCAGAGATGATGTGTATTAAAATCCTCTATAATTATAGACTTTTTTTAATGAAGTTATATTTAAAAATTCTCTATTAATTATTCAGGTATTGTTGTTTTCTTTCAATAACTTTTCATTATAAATATTTATAAGTTATATGGTATTAAACTCATTCTCTTTATCTATAATATCACTCACTAGAATATCAGAGTCAGATATAATATTAAATCTTAGATTAAATTAATATCTTCATCTTTTTCTTTTATAAATCACTAGTCTTGATTTTATCTCAGATCTTTCAGATACAAAGCAGTTATAGCTTGAATAAGAAATGATATACTTTTACTTAGCATCAAAGTTTGATTCTTGAAGCAGTATAAAATCAATTTTTTATTCAAATATAATTTGAAGATAAGAATAAATACAATTTGAGTTTCTATTCACTAATTAATCTTTTTTTTCTAGAGATTGACTTTTATATGTCACTTTTTATTTTATTATACATGGCTTTTTCTTTTATTATACATTACTTCTTCTTTTATTATTTAAATAGATTATTGAATATTATACATATTGATATAATTATTCACATTATATCTTTACACTGCTTCTGTTCTTATGCTGTCAGAAGTGCACACCTCTATTCTCATTACACTGATAAAGAGAGCTCAGTTACTGAATGCATATTACTAGACTGACCGCTGAGACCATGAATTTCACATTTGGTTTCATTTGATCTGATCTCATACATTTCTTGGTGTGAATCCTGCTGGGACTAGTCATCAAAAAAACATGCAAAGTGACTATATATCAGATCTTAAAATGAAATCATGACTTGAAAAAAATGAGAAAGTGATCTCATTTGATTTCATTTAGTTTCATTCTTAGCATAAAGTTACTATTTTTAGATATTTTAAGGTTTTTTTTAGACTATTTTTAATTTTTTAAAAAGTAACACTTTTTGATAACACTCAAATGAGATTTAAAGTCATTTAAAGTAATAAAAATAATTTAAATTGAGAAGTGAAAATCATGATCTCATTTGAAAAATGTGACAAGAGTAGACAGTAAGTCTCACTGAGACAGTATGAAACTACTATCTAATGTTAAAACTGTGTAATGGGATCAGTTGAATTGGTAATGAGACTATCAAAAAATCTGGTCCTGGTCTCAGACACGGTCACACGGTCAGTCTACATATTACAATGTCAAAGCTATCTGATAAAACATGAATTAAAATGAATTATTTTGTGCTTCTTGTTGTTTTCTCAAGTGCACTCTTCACTACAGCTTCTCTCTTCGTACGATGGCTCTCTAACTACCAATAAAAGACTTTGATTTTACATGATTTAGAATTCAAAGCATTTTCCTACGCCTTTCTCCAGGCACTCCCGCTTCAAGTTCTTAGTCCATTCTTCATAATATCTTTTCCATTCCATTGCCATGGCCATGGCTTCAGAGTCATTTGACATATCTTCCATCCACAATTCGATTTCATTCGACCTGCCTGACATCTTCGGGCTCAACGCGACACTAAGCTCCCTCACCCTCCCCAACTGCCGAAATGGATCCAAGTACGAGGGTAAGAAGTTGCGAATAAGTTCAACACTTCTACGGCGCGTGTACCAAAACCACACCGAATCAAGACAAATATGGAGCTTGATGAGATTGGAACCCTGAAGATGTGATGCAATCAACTGAACATTTTCAAGGATAGGCCCATGCCTTCCTGAATGATCAACCGAAATATTCAATTGGAAGGTAAGTTGTTTAAACCTTTGCCAGGAACCAGTTTGAATTGAGTGGCATTTTCTTCCCAAGATGTACACATCCTTGCCAGACAGGAAGATATCGCAGACCAGTTTTCGGTAGAGGACATCAGTTGCATCCTCAAATATCTGACGATTCAAACGCGCCACTTTGAGAAAGCTGTAATATGTGTAAAATTTCGCATAGCTGCTCTGATATTCATTGAGAATGTATGAGAAAATTTGTTGACGAAGTTCGAGTGGCAGACGCAGTATGTAGCATGGCAAGGCAAGTTCTATGTGCTTGAAACAAAGCTGTATTTCGGTCCAAGGAATCTTTTTGAGGCATTTGCGACTGCCCCCAAGCGGCGCCTGGCAAAAAGCCACTGAGAGGCCAAGCTTTCTATGAGACCAGCACACTGGGAGTCCCTGCCGCGCTCGTGAGGAAGTCGCTCGATTTTTGCATGCATCGTAGGAACGCGTCAGTGCCGAGCATTGTGGTCGGATTTTCTTTCGGGCGGGCTTTGAGTGCCTTTTGCCTCTCGGCATTCTTGCGCCTCCAATTCAGTGGGTAGAACTCGGTTCCTGTAAGGCAGATATTGTGACAATTCTCTAAAAGCTGCCAGGACTAGTTTGAGCCAGAGGTCAATGATGATTTCGAGTTGGAGCAACAGCTGCCATCTGAGGTGTTACGGATGGAATGGTTGGCAGGGGAACATCCAAAGTCACATGGGGAGGAACATTGTTTCCCCGATCTCGCGGTCTCTACCAATGTCGTTGATTACTCGTGCCGCTGCTTACTCACTCACCTCTAGTGAGCGCGCCACATCAAAACAATAAAAACACTGAAATGATAAAAATCTTGTAAATTCTTAATCTTCATCTTCATTAATTAATTAATAACCACCACAATGTTGAATAAAGATGAAAATATTGAAGAGTGTATTCAGCAAGTCATCACTATCTATTAAAAAAATTCAAAATTCAAAATACTATTTCTTTTACAAGAATTTAATATTCTCTATCAATGTCTCTGAGTGCATATCACTGAAAGGAATCTGAATACTATGAAGATGTCAGTTAATAAGAGCTTAAATAAGAGTTAGAAGAATGTGATTAAATAATGAATTAAGTTACTAGATAAAAAAAATTGCTTCTTCACAGCTGAACATATTCAAGATTTCATGAATTCAATTCTCAGATATTATTATACAGATTCTACTATCTTTCTCTTAAAAGTCAGTAAGATGTAAATATACAGATTCATTGAATATCTATCTGAGTATAAGAGAGTTTAGCAGAAGTCAATGAATTCAAAGCAGCTGTCAGTTGAAGATATTAAATATATTAAAATCTGATTTACTTATCTCTGAATTCTATTCAAGCAATATAAGTTTCACATCTGTGATAAGAAAGAGAAGAATGAGTTATAACTGCTTTTAAAGAGATCAATTTCATCATTTCTTTATCTTATTCAAGAGATTTAATAACAGTTATTCAGTGTGAATTCATTAGCTATTATATCATTTGTCATTAATAATCTTGGTCTTAAAGTCATATCTGAAGAATTACTATACACAGACTGATTTATCTGACAATTATAAGATTAATATATCAGATACTGACTTTACAAATGATGAGATTGATTTTGAATACCTTAAACACGTCAATGAGATTATAAAAAAGAGGTAGAAGAGTACTTATTAATTACTTCTAATAAATAATCACAGATCTCATATAATAGAGAAGTTTCTGTAATATACTGATTTTTATAATATAATTCTATATGAATTCTCTTCACATATTACTCATTTACTGCAATCTGTAAACAGTCTATTATTTAAGTAATATAAGTATTATTATTTAAAAGAAGTTAACTATGCTACATATGACAGTTTTAAAAAGTATGAAAAATAGCAGTTTCTACAAGATCTATCAGATATTCAGAAGTTGTAAGAATAAGTACTCATAGGCGATTATTCAGGTGTTTGCAGCTTGACGTGATATGTACTGATAGCTACAAGAAATATTCATGATAGAAAGATAAATATAGAGATTAAATGTATAATAGTATTCAAGCTGAGTTATAAATAGTAGTCACAAACTTCAGTCTATATAGTTGTGTGTAGTCAAGAGCTGCTAACTCTATTAATTACATAAGAGATAGAAATAGAGATAAAGAATCTGTGAGAAGTGAGATTTCTTATATACTTTTTTCTCTCTAAGACTTTGTCTGTGAAGTCTTTCACTGAGTGATTCTATAGAATTAGACTCAGCACTGTAGTAATACTCACTAAAAACTCTTCATATCTATAAAAAATCTCAGTGAGGAAAAATTTCTTATTACTATGAAGAGAAAAGAGTCTGTTACTCAGTTTCTTATTTCACAAGATTCTTTATAATCTACAGATCTTTCTCTGACTATTATACAGATTCATCTTACATCTTTCATTTCAGAGAGTTTCAGTTGATCTTCAATTATTCTTTCATGAGATTCTTGTATAACTGTTATACAGATTTATCTCACAGATGAATCACTTTCTATGAGATCACTCTTATTAAAAAGAAGCATTTATAAGTTAATCTTTCACTCATTCTTACAAATCATCATTCTTTGACACTGTAGAGTTGTAACAAGTTTTTCATTCTTTCATTATCTCTGTAGAATTGTAGAATCAAGATATTCACAGTCTGAAATCACTCTTTATAGTTATATAAAAAGATTCAGACTTATAATTTATAATCATTCTTTATTTACTAGAGTGATCTGACTGTTATATAGAATCACTTATAGTGTAAATAAATCTCTCTTAAGTAGTATAAATATCTCAGATCTATCTGTAGAATCTCATCTTCTTTTCTCTTTTTTTATAACAGCTCTTATTCTCATAACTGTGAGTATTCTCATTCATTCACAAAGTGTTTTCACTCAGATAACAGAGAGAGAGTTTTTTGATAATATCTGTATATTAATTCAAGAACTTCTCAAGAATAAAAAATTTTTTCAATTTTAATATCTTTATAAAATATATCTGATCACTGCTGAGTTTCTTATAAGTGTTTCTGTAACTTCTCTGATTACTTTCTATCAGCTGATGAAGTGAGAGTGTCATTACTTATAATAGTATCTTCATCTCTTTCAGCTCTGTCACTGCACTCAATCTTCAGATCAGTGATCAACTCTGTATCTCTCTCAGATCAGTCTCTGACTCTTAGCAGTGTAGTTCTACTCTTTACTGTAAGTCTCTCTATAAGTAATTTCTTACTGACTCTAGCTAATAGTTTCTGCAAAGCTCTCAGTACTGTCAGTGCTTTGTACAGTCTCACAGATCTATAATCACTCTCTCTTTTCTCACATAACATCTGATTAGATATATGCAAATATGTCTAGATTCTCTATTAACAGTTCTTACATCATGATGCATTTCTGCAATTCTAATATTAACAGAAGATGAGTTCTCAGATACCTATAAAATTCAGATAATCAAGACAATGCAAATGTTATAAATTCATAACAGAAGTTAATCTAAGTAGATAAGCTCTCTCTTCACATCTCAATAATTTTCAGACTGAATACTTCAGTATAACTGAGAAAGCAGACACAGCTTTGTAAGAGATATCTGATAATATATATAAATAATCAGTTCTCAAGACTCTGCTGTAACTGTATATACTCTGATATTCAGCTCTCTTAAAGTCTGTGCATTTCCAACAGTCTTTGTGTTAAATGCAATAATTATCTGTATCACAGACATGATACTGTCTGCTTCTTTGAAGAGAAGAATTAGTAGTTACAGAGAGATTAAATATCATAAATAATAAGAATATAAATATGAATTTTCTTTGTTTTTTCTTTATTTTTTCTTTATTAGGCTCTAAATTGTGTTCACAGCTCAGTTTTTATTTTTCTGTGTTTTTAGCTTTAATAATAATATAATTTCTCCTTCTCTTTGTATACACTGTAGACTGTTTATCTCAGTAGAAACTTATTATCTTTATAGACTAGAGTTTATAAATGACAGTATTAATATCTTTATCACAATCAGATTCTTAGTGAAGACTGTATTATTCTGACTTATGAGAATTTATAGTATAAAAGTTATATCTCAGCTTCTGCAGATATCTTATCTACTCAGATAATTTTCAAGTGAACTTATTCATCTTATCAGAATACTCTTATCACTGAATCTTGAATCAGAGCTTATAATCTTACTTTTCTCAGTTAATAATCTTTTTAATCTGATATTCTCTTTCACTCTCTAGTACTTTATAAATAGAGTGATAAGTCACAGAATTTTCTTCTGTGAATTTCTTATATTTACAGAGTAAAGAGACATGAAAAATATTATATATCTGTAACTCAGATAACAGTTTTAATCTGTAGAACTGTAAACTAACTTTTCTCATAATCTTATAAGACTCTATCTATAAGAGATTCAGTTTCTTACTAGATCTCTGTATAATAATATTTTTCAGACTCAGTCAGACTCTATTATTCTTCTTAAAACTCTTTATAATATACTTAGAGTTATAGTATCTCTTTTGATACTCTTGAGTCTTTGTCAAGAATTTACAGACTTTCTTCTGAATATTCTGAATTCTCTCAGCTTATTCCCAGACATCATTATACTCTATAGTATACTCTTGTGAGTTTATCAAGATCATCTGTAGATAAGTCTTAGTAAGTATCTCAAAGAGAGTTTTATCTGTACTGACATACTTTAAGTTATTGTATATAAACTCTGTGAGTGATAATTAATACACTCAGTTATTCTGATTATAATTGACAAAGCACTGTAGATACTGTTTTAATATACTTATCAAATATTCTATCTGATTATCTGTCTATTGATAAAAAGTTATACTTAGATCTTGTAAGATCTTTAGTATAGTTATCAGATCAGATCAGAACTCTCTTATAAAGATTAATTCTCTATCTGAGATAATGTTTGTAAGTAATTCATATAACTGAATCATATTATGAACAAAGATATAAGTTAAATTCTTTGACTTTAAGTTCTTATAAGTGAGTATAAAGTGTGTTATCTTGATAAAGTAAATCTACTATTATCAGCACACTGTTAAAACAGATATTATATATGTTCTTACTTTCAGAGAGAATTATAAGAGTATTTATTTCTAGCTATTTTCAAGGTTTCTGCAGAATAAGTAGAGAAGTAAGTTCTTTATATAATCTGAATCACACTATCTGTAAATTCTGATAAATAGTATAAGAATTCATTATCTTCTTTATAAGTTCTTATATCTTCAGTCAGAAGTATTTTCTTATGAATAACTTATGAGTTCTAGTATCTGTAAAATGACTTACTAGAGAAGAGTTATGATATCTTTTAATAAGTTCTATATATAAAAACTCATTTACAGGTATATAAATTCAGTTCTCTCTTTGTAAGAGATTATTTAAGTCTCTTCAACTCTTTATTTCTGCTGTGAGCAGTTTCTGAATATACTGAGTATATTTATTCTTCAGTTGTAGTTCAGACAATCTGAATAGAAGATCTTATAAAAACTTATACTCTGTTTCTTCT